TAGAAATTTGGGAAGCCCTAAACCGCGGAAGCTTCTCAAACCTAAAACCTCCGACCGTCTCAGATTCCGTTGGCCCCCTCAACCCTACATCCTAAATCCCAAAACCCGAAACCCTAAATCCTAAAACCCTAAACCCAAAAACCCTAAAACCCTAAAAGCCTAAAACTGGCCTGCAAGGGCTTTCAGGAAGAGCTGCTTCTGGTCGCTGCCTTCGCGCGAGGGCTTCTCCCCTAACTACCGGTACTTGCTAGGTAGATATTTGGGCCCCAATATCCTCTAAACCCAAGAGTAACCTAGGAACAAAAAGGGTGCCCTTTTTGGTTTAAAGGGGCTTATAAGGGAACCTGAACCCCTGAAAAAGGGAATAAGGGCCTACTCTAGGTCCTAGTATTTGGGCCCCAATATCCTATACTAGACTAGATTATGCGTTCCTCTGTTTAGGGCTTCGGGGGTTTAGGGTTTATAGAGCCTAGAGCCTAGAGTTTGGGGCTTAGGGGGTTAGGGTTTTTTTCAGAGTTCGGGGGTTTAGGGCTAAAGGTTTTGGGGGTTTTGGGGTGTAGGATTCAGGGGTTTATAGGGCTTACGGTTTAGGGGTTTCCGGGTGTAGGGCTCAGGGTTGAGAGGTTTATGGGGCTTAGGGCTTGGGGTTGACGGTCTTTGGGCCAACTTCAACCTGGTTTCGCGGACTCCAACAAGTTCGTGCTGCGCATCGCGTTCACATCTTAGCTTCTTCAGGGACTCCCCGGCTGACAAAGGGTCCAAGTACCAGTATAGTATAGGATAGAGTAGCATAGCACAGGAGAGCATAGGATAGTACAAGCATAGTAGAGTATAGGATAGACTGTTCTTAAATGGGCCCCAACTAAACCAAGTACCTACCATATAGGTACTTGGATACTTTGAAGATTCCTATAGCCTTTGCACACAGCCAACTGCGCCCTGCGCAGATGTTTCCAGCATTCACCCACCCGAGTCTCATAGGTTTAGGGTTCAGGGTCGATGGTTTAGGGTTTAGGGCTCAGGTCTCATGCACTTGCTTCGCGGTTTCGGCTCTCCCACATGGGGGCTAGGGTCCCGACTAGACGTACCAACAAATGAAGAGCAGGATCTCTCGAAGCGGCATTCCACAGAACGTATCGGTATCGGATGCCAACTTTATCGTGTTACAGGTGCGCCCTTCATCAAAACGAAGTTTCAAAGCAACACACACGTGGGCCCTAAGATAAGCCCCAAAATTGTAGGATCCTGACGAAATAAGTTTCAGAAAAATGAAGGGGTTCTGTAAGGGTACTATGAGGATCCTCACAAGGCTTTATTAGCGTGCTGTATACACGGTTTAAGGGTTTAGGGTTTAGGGTTTAGATCCGGAGCTATGAAAATCTGAGAAATCTAGAACATGGTAGTGTCCTTCTAGAATGAACAAGGTACCCCAAACTTCGACATACTCACATCTGGTCCAGGAGCACCCTGGGCCCAAAATACCCTAAATCCTAAACCCCTGGCCTTCTATACTATACTAGATGGGAGTTTCCGAAAATAGGGGACCCTGATATAGTACCCTAAATAGTAGGATCCTTATTCAAAGGTCCCCAAAATAAGGACCCCCCCCCAAAAAAAAAATTCGGAAACTCCCATATTGTACTTAGACTATCCTATACTCTCCTGTGCTATGCCATATTATCCTATACCATACAGCGTCTACCAGTAAACCCTAAACCTTGAACCCTGTAGAGATCTCTTATATTACCCTTATAGATCCCTTAAACGGACTCTTACAAAACCCCTGAAGCCCTAAACCGTAAACCCTAGAGTTCCCCTATAGTACCGTTATAGATCCCTTGTCAGGAACCTTACAAAACCCCTGAAGCCCTAAACTCTATTTTGTTCTCAAGGATGGCGCCTGCGAGTCCCGAATGCAATTCCTGCGAGTTGACCTCGGTGCGGGGATGGAGGAGGTCCGTGGGAGTTTAGGGTTTTGGGTCTGTGGGAGTTTATATAGGGTTTAGGGATTTTTGGGGTTTAGGGCTTCGGGCTTTGGGCGTGAAATAGGGTTTAGGGTTTTTGGGGGTTTGGCGCTTAGGGCTTAGGGGTTTAGGGTTTAGGGGAGTTTTGGGTTTAGGGATTTAGGGTTCAGGGTTCAAGGATTTATAGGGTTTAGGGGTTTAGTTTAGGGTTTGTTGGGCTCAGGGAGGTCTTCGCGCTTGAAGAGTTTGAGGCTCGAAGGCTCTGGAAGCTTGGAATCGTGGTTTGGGTCTTGGGGTTAGCTGGACCCTGAAGAACCTCCCCTTTCAAGGATTTACATAAGGAAGTCATAATAAGGAACCCTAAAAAGATAGGTTCTTCAGGGTCCAGGTACTGAGTTTGTTGCATTGCTGGAGGGGGGAACGAGGTTGAAAGCCTCGCGGCCAAGGCCAACGCATGCAAGTTCTTGGAACTGCGCACATTTCTGGAAGACCGTCACTGAATAGAACCAAATTGTACATACCAAGCCACCTAAACCCATTGGAGATCAGGCATGAAGCCAAACTGCTGGCATTTACTAGCCCTGAAGGGATGTGTGATTAGTGGAGTGGGAGTGAGAATTGCAGGGATTTGTTGCTTTGCATGAGGCAGTTTGAATTCTCGGCTCCAGAATGTGGGTCTAGCATCGTATACATAAAGAAGGACCACAAAGGGTTTGTATTACGTACTATGTGTTCAGACCTCAACAGTAACCCTGCAAGCCTCGTCGTGGATCTGCCCCTCTGCGATAGGTCTGACAGCAGCCAGATCCATTCCTGCAGTTCTGTTTGAAGGTGTGGCATTCAAAGCACATATACCCTTCATTTCGGGACTATGATGATAAGGTTCCTGCGATGTTGGGTATGCGGCAAAGATGTTCATTTTCCACAACTCCCGTTTTTGCTGGTTCTCATGTTGAACCCAGTGTTGTTCAAGGATTTAACGACTTCTGAGGTCTATCTGCGATAGGGCTCCTCGGAAGAAGCATCATCAGAGCTACTGCAAGCGTAGAGATTCAAAACCTAGAATTCCAAGTCAAGGCTCTCTGGTTCCATACCCTCTTTTAATGAAGCCCCATAGAAATTAGGGTAGCTACTGAGATCATTCTGGGACTTTTAGTAAGTGTGGATATTTGGGATTATATGGAAGTTTCCGAAAATAGGGGGCTCTAATATAGTACCCTAAATAGTAGCATCCTCATGATAAGGACACCAAAATACAATACCCCAAATTAACTTTCGGAAACTCTTAAACCCTGAAGCCTTTATAGAACCCCTATAGATCCCTTTAAGGAACCCTTAAAGGATCCCTTTAAAGTACAATTATACCTACTATTACTACCATATTCTTCCATTCCCTACTGACCAAAGGTAAGTTGGGAATGCCGATGGCTCTTGCTGTTTAGGGTTTAGGGTTTAGGGTGTGGGGTTTGTGGGTTTAGGGTTTGGGGTTTAGGGTGTAGGGTTTATTTAAGCCGCTGGTTCATATCTATGTAGTGACTGGCCCAAACAGCAGTGGCCCTCTGCTGCTTGTCGATTTGTGCGTCGATGTCTTCTGTTCGGACCCCTACGCGGAGGATCACGGGACCTAGTAAGTCAGGTCCTAAGTACCCTATTTGGAAGAACAGCGAGTAAGTTGGCTGTTATATCATTTAAACCTAAGTTACTAGGTCCCATGAACCTCTGAGCATTTCCTTCCGGATGACTAGTTCACCTCTGTCAACATACCTGGAACGCGGACTCCGCAAACGTTTCTGCAGTAACTGGGTCACTTGATGTTGGCATGAGGCGAATGAATGGCAGGACACTATTTTGTATATACAGATGTATGTGTATGTGTGTATATATATATATACATACACCTGCATATGTATGTGCATATATACATATAGAGACTACTATCGATAAATACTGTATGCTAGCATATGTCACTCTATGTTATTACATGTTTCTGTATGCTAGCATATGAACGAAGGTTTTTGCATGTATTGGTATATTCTTGCAATGTGGCAATATGTCAGTACATCTTCAGGCCGGATGACTCGGGCCAGCAGTGTCTCTCGAGCCCCTCTGATAGCTACCAAATGCATGCTATTCTAGGATACCCAGTAACCTAAGAATAAAACGGCCTCTCTTTGGTATTGGGTAACTTTATAAGGAACCTAGGACTACAAAAAGGGAATACGGGTACTACTGGGCATCCTAGTGTTTACTAACCCGAAGTCGCCGTTTTAGGGTTCAGGGTTTACGTGGAAGGGCAGGGGACTTAGTAAGTAGGTTATAAGTAGGGTTATAATTGGGGTAACTCCATTTAGGGGGCTTATAACTCTACCTATATTACCTTACTAAGTCCCCTGCCCTTCCAAGTAGGGCTTCGGGGATCCTAAACCCAAAGAACACCTTGGAGACAGCGCGAAACGTCACCTCATGCGGAATCCATACCATAGGCCGCAGAGCCGCACATAGAGATACGTGCGTGTATGTAGATATGTATGCGTATATGTATGGATCTATGTAAATATTTGTCATTAGGTCATAGATGGAAAACAAAGTTCATATACATCATTCAACAAATGCAACATAAACACATCTAGGTTAACTACCATTTTAGATGGTATACAGGCACATACACATATACATACGTTCTTTTATACTGATGCTGTTAAACCATCAAGGAGCACAATCCAGACTTTCTACGTATATCACCTTGTGCCGGTTCCCCTATACTGATACTGCTAAGCCATCATGGAGCAAAACCAAGACTTTCTTGGTGCAGGCCAAGCAATCCTTCGAGCAATCTTTGGTGCAGTGTCTGCACAGCTAGTCGGTGAGACGACGACACTAAGGGTCCAAGTAGCTGATAAGCGTATCCTCTCGCAAATTCTAATCGACATCGCTACTATAACTACATCAAAACTCAGTATCTTGTCATGTGGTCATTTTGGACACTTAGCGTGACACCTGATTCACAGGTGCGAACTTGCTACGATCGATCCTAACTCAGAGGTCGCACTGTGAGACAGAGCCGGCGCCTCGTATGAGGTTGAACAGAGACTTCTGGCTGTCGGTTGGCTTCGCGGAAAGCCTGGGCTGTGATCCAAAGGCTACGTACTTGGAGGTTCATGGGTAGTTAAAAGTGGGGTTATAAGTAGCGTAGCTACAATTATAACCCATATTAGGGGACTTATAACCCCACTTATAACTACCCATGAACCTCTATGTAGGGTTCATGTAGGCTTTCAGCCATTAATTAACCCTAGATCCAATACCCTGCATTCCTAAGTTAACAAACCCTAAACCCTAAATCCTACGTTTTAGTTCAAGGACCCCAGACCTTGAACGCAAATAAAAAAACATCCCTACGTGTCACCCAGAAGCTCTTGTGAGGAGTCTGCACCCCGAGATGGCGTTGCCTCACGAGCGCTCGAATTATGCCAACGTAAATCCCAAAACAGTGAGGGCTTAAAGGCTTCAAATTACGAATCTTGGGTTCAGGGTGTAGGGTGCACAGCAGAGTTTAGGGTTGAAGGTCTCAGTGAAACAAGACCACGACGACCATAACACCCCTTATCGCCCTAAACCGCAAGCCCTAAACAAAACCATACGCCCTAAACCCCCTTAGCCTAAGCCCCAAGACCCCGCCCCCACAATACCGGCCTTGTTTTGGAAGAGCGTGGGAAGCCGAGTTTCCGATTCTGACTGGATCAGGGCCGGGTTCGATCCCTGTCGTTTCGTCTCCTGAGGGCCACTTTAGTTGACATGAATGTATACACATACAGTCACATACAAACTTACATACATACAGACATGTAGACATACGTACACACATGTGTCTGGATATATATATATATATATATATAGATGTATATATATATATATATATACATACACATATGTTTGTTGTTTGTTTTCAGGGCTTTTCTTGGGTGTCTACCAGAATGACAAACTCAAGCCGACTTGGGATATGTAAGGGTTCAGGGTTTAGGGTGCAACTTGCCGCCTTTATCAAAGCGGTTCTTGAGAGGCTGTCTTGTTGTTGTTATATATATATATGTAGATATGTGTCATGTAGGTTTATTGGATATAAGAGCCTTCCTGAATGAGATAAGGTGTCTATAGTCTTCCGAGGCGCGAGAAGTTGTGCCGGCGTTTGCAAGCACAGTTTGTTTTGGGCATGAAGGCTCGAGGGGTTTAGGGTTCAGGAGTGTGGATATCCAATAAACTGTTTCAATTGCTGAAGGGATGCTCTCGCTGTGGCTCTGGCGGATATGCGAACTTGCCGGGTCTGGGGAAAAGTCCGCGAAGCAAAGCAAACCATTACACCAAACAAATACAGCAACAAATAACCCCCGCTGTACCACCGGAAACCTAAAGAACATCTCCTAAACCCCCCACAAACCACCATAAACACCTCCAAACCACCAGAAACCCCCGTAGCTCCAAAGAGTAGAATCGGATGTCGGAGTTTGGGCACCGCAAGACTGCCGAATGGAAACAATGAACAACAGCAGCAGCAGCAGCAGGAGGATGAGGAGGAGGAGGAGAGGATCAGCAGCAGTAGTAGTAGTAGTAGTAGCAGCAGCAGCAGCAGTAGTGGTAGAAGTAGAAGTAGAAGTAGAAGGAGTAGCAGTAGTAGTACTAGTAGTAGTGTAGTAGTAGTAGTAGTAGTAGTAGTAGTAGTAGTAGTGGTAGTGGTAGTGGTAGTGGTAGTGGTAGTGGTAGTGGTAGTGGTAGTGGTAGTGGTAGTGGTAGTGGTAGCACTAGTAGTAGTAGTAGTAGTAGTAGTAGTGGTAGTAGTGGTGGTAGTGGTAGTAGTAGTGAGTAGTAGCAGTAGCAGTAGCAGTAGCAGTAGCAGTAGCAGTAGCAGTAGCAGTAGTAGTAGTAGTAGTAGTAGTAGTAGTAGTAGTAGTAGTAGTAGTAGTAGTAGTACAGTAGTAGTTTAATAACTTGTAGTAGTCGTCGTCGCAGGAACAATCATAGCAACAAAAAGCAGTCACTAGCAACAAGTATAATAGTAATAATGCCTTAAATCCCAAACCCCCAAACCCGAACACAAAGCCCCTAAACCTCTAAACCCCTAACCCCTAGACCCCTAAACCCCAAACCCCTAAACCCCAAACCCTGAACCCTAAAATCTACTACCAAAACCCTATAAATCCTTTATAGAACCCTTATGGATCCCTTTAAAGATACCCCTAAACCCTAAACCCCCTCAGAGTATCGGCTCCTCGGAGCCCGGGCGTTGGAGGAGGAACAGCCAGTCCCAGGGCAGCGGCGAGTCTTGCAGTCTCGGGGGCACCTGACGTCTTAGAGCTGGGGTTTAGGGTTTAACCTTTAGGGCTAAGGGTTTCGAGTTTAGGGTTTAGAATTTACGGATATAGGCTCTAGGCTTCCGCTCTGGGGTGAGGCTTCTCGTATTCGGCGGGGTATCATGTTGCTGTGGCGATGTCGTGCTTACACTGCAAGTGCAACTATTGCTGCACCACTCCTGGCAAGCTGGGTAGTGAGGGAGGCCGTGAAGGAGGTAGGTAGGAAGGGAGGGAAGGGAGCGGTAGTCGTCGTCGTAGTAGCAGCCGCAGCCGTAGCCGTAGCCGCAGCAGCAGGAGGAGTAGCAGTAAAAGAAATTAGGATTCGTAGCCATGCAGCCAAATCAGAAACACAATCACAACATTTACATAACATTCATCAAGGCTGTAACAATAATCGCAACTTTGCCACCGCCACAACACCGCTAAAACCCCAGGTGCTAAGCCTGCAGCCTTATCCTCCCATCTAACGTCTCTTCTAGGGTCCTTGTTTCAAGGGTGCTGTTGTATTTTGGGAACCTAAAGAGACCCTGATTCAGAGAACTACCCTCTTGGTTCCTGCGGCAGCCTGGCAGTCAGAAGACAGGCCCAGCTCCGATCTCCAGCTGTACTCCACACGCTCGCACATCTCAACCTGCACAGAGACATCTTCTTCGCCGGATCAGGCTTTGCCCAAGTTGGTGCATACTGTGTACGACTTCACTCTGTAAGGGGGGATTGGTAACAGTAGCAGAGCCCTGGTAAACTTTGCCTAAACAATCTAGGGGCCTTAATACTCAGAATAGGGTTTTGAAGCCCATTATATATATATATATATATGGTCACACCCCCCCCCATGATCCACCCCAGCCTTCTCCTCAACTACTCCTGTACTGTCTTCTGGTACAAGATGCGTATTGCTAAAGTTAGAATCTATCGGTATATACGGTGTTTTCTGCAATTCATGTACATGTACAGATGCTGCTTTTCGCCTTTTATACCATATACAAACAAGCCAGAACCGAAACCAGATTCTGGTTCTGGATTCTGGTTCTGCTGCCGCATGTACATATCTACCTGACTTTTTATTCTTTGATATCAGAGGTAAACAAGCCGAAACCGAAACCAAATTCTGGTTCTCGATTCTAAGTTTGTCGAACTACTGAAGATGTGCAGTTTGAATAGACATAGCTTCTCTTCTCTTTATACCATAAAGGGTAAGGACAACCCCTTCAGTGAAAACAAACATGCCAGTGGTATGCTTGGCTTCCTAGCAACACCACTAAACAGAGGTGTTGCCCATCTAACCATAAAAAGACAAAGCCTGGCTCTTTATAAGACATGGGAAGGAACCTCCATGCATCTTCATGCTTCAAAGGAACTTAGGACAACTTCATATCTTCAAATTTTGTTTCGACAAGGGAAGCTCAGTTGTTCTTTCTCAGGTAGTGTTGTTTTCTTCTATTAGGAATCTTTTTCATCACAAAAAACATAATAAGCCACTTGAGTCGCTTATCAGTCGCTGGAATAAAGTGGCTGGAACTCAACGAACTCTTGCAATATACCAATACTAGGGAAAGAAATGGTCAAACTCCAAATACATTCGGTCACAAGCAGAGTATGTCGAGCTTCTTACGCTTTATACTTCGTGGGAATTAGGGAAAGAAATGGTTTCCCTCCACCAAATTCCAAATACACTCGGTCACAAGTAAGTAGAGTATGTCGAGATTTTTACGCTTTACACTTCGTGGGAATCAAGACAAGCATGTATCTGGAAAGCATTCGCTTTTCTTCTCAACACGTTTGCTTGCTGTTTTCTTATTAAAAGATGCAAGACGATCCTGGCTCAGAACATGTACGTAATCGAGCTCCGTTGCACCGCGCTACTCGCACAAGTGATATAGCTCCTGCCATCTTTGAATACAGCATGAAACAGCTCCAGACCTCTCCTCCTGGCCCCCGAGAATGGTGCAAACACATCTTTTCTCATGAAATATGCTTCAAGGAAAACAATAAAACACTGGACTTACCTCGTGAGCAAGGCTGACCTTGACTCGGTGATGACTTTGCTCCACGAGAGAAGAGTTGGTACCGCCAGTAATCGAAGCAGTTGAAAGCACATTTACCTGGTTCCCCGGTGTCGCCTGAATGGTTCTGGTATTGTTTTTGTATAAGTGAACCCCAAAAGTAATAAGGCAAGACACCACAATTGGGGAACTAGCTTTATATAGGTAATGATATGAAATATCGGAGCTTGTCAGCTTCTTTGGTTTGTGAGGTAATATAAAACACAAGTTTTCTTCTTGTTCAAGCAACATGCAAGAACTTAAACGGTTAGCAAGATGTTACCTCAATGCAGAAACAAGAACTTGACAGTATCTAAACATGATGCACAGTTCAACGAACATGTGCATTCGCATCAAACGTTCTAAACCATCCACAAACACAGGCAGGTTTCAATATTATAAAGTACAGCTGTTCGTTTGTTTTTCTTGAGCAAAGGTGATCTTAACAACAGCTATGACTTTGTTCGATGAAAGAAGCAAGAGCACAGTTGGGAACTGAAGCTATTGAAGGCTCATGTATGAGTCCGTGGTACGGCTGTTCTTCTATTACTTTTGCATTTCAGTGTTTTCGCATCCGAGGTGGCCAAAATACCGCCAGGCACCAATTTCCCCAAACTTTGTGAGGCTGGAAGTGCCAAAACCTCGCCAGGCACCAATTTCCCCAAAATCCCTAAAATCCCGGCATCTATGAGGCGTGCCGGGCCATAGTTGCTCAGAGTTTGGGATTTTTGGGGAAATTGGTGCCTGGCGGTGTTTTCCCATCCGAGTTTGCCAAAATACCGCCAGGCACCAATTTCCCAAAGTTTGTGAGGCTGGAAGTGCCAAAACCTCGCCAGGCACCAATTTCCCCAAAATCCCGGCATCAATGAGGGGTGCCGGACCATAGTTGCTCAGAGTTTGGGATTTTTGGGGAGATTGGTGCCTGTCGATGTTTTCGCACTTCCAGCTTTGCAAACTTTGGGGAAATTGGTGCCTGGCGGCGTTTTCGCATCCGAGGTTGCCCACCTCCCATGACCCACTGTTTGCAAGAAGCAGGTTCGGGTGGATCATGGGGGGGGGGGGGGGCGTGAGCTATATGGTCACACCTATATATACTATAGTTATAAGAAGGCCCTGATAGTAACCGTAGCAGAGCCCTGGTAAACTTTGTCTGCCCGGCAGCTTCCCCAAAAACACCAAGGCGCCTGAAGCCCGACTTTCGCAGCCAGGTGCCGGAACTCGGGCTCCAGGTAGTGCTTCGTCCGAACACCAGACCTTCCTCGGTTCCGTAGTACCTAGACCCCCGAAAGCAGGTAAAATAATGGCCCAAACCCATGAAAGGCGATTATTCTACATACTTTGGGGGTCCAGGTAGCCGTTTTAGAATAAGGCTACCCTTTCTCCTATATACTCTATGGGTTTTCCCCCTAAACCCTAAACCCCTAAACCCTAAAAGGGTAGTACTCAGGAACCTAGCATACCCTAAACCATTATGGATCCCTTTAAGGATCCCTTATAGATCCCTTCAAGGCTCCCTTTTGGGTGGTTGTCAAAACTAGGGTCCCTTTTTGGGCCCCTATTATAATACTATTATTTCGGGGTACCCAAAACGAGACACAAATTTTGACAATCACCCTTATAGATCCTTTAAGGCTCCCCTAATGAATCACTTTAAGGCTCCCGTATAGATCCCTTGAAGGATCCTTTACCTTTGCGGCTCCCTTTCTAGATCCCTTTGAGGCCAGCGTCTGAGAATGCCCTTCAATACGTCGGCCCCCTCGGCCCTGGTGGGCTTCTGACCCGCCACACCCACGGAGTAGGGGCCTTCGTACTTCTCCTCGTCTTAGGGCTTAGGGGGGTTTAGGGGTTTATAAGGGTTTAGGGGTTTAGGGGTTTAGGGGTTTAGGGGTTTTGGGTTTAGGGGTTTAGGGGTTTTGGGTTTTAGGGTTTAGGGTTTCTGGGTTTCGGGGTTTAGGGGTCTAGGGTTTAGGGGTTTAGGGTACTTCTCCTCGTCGCAGCGCATGTTGACGTACATAGCACTCTCCCAAGCCGGAACGATGCAAAGCACGCGACCACCAAGACAGACAGAGCGGTAGGCGTTCCTTACTACTGGTGCTTAAGGAACACTGGCAGAAGGATATGGGGACTATACTAATTACAAAGGACTATATAGGCCCAATCATAGGTACCCACTCTGCCTGAACACGGAAGCTGCAAAAACCTAGGCCTCATACACCCTAAATCCTAAACCCTTAAGCACCAGCAAGATTCAGCAGCATCCGCTGGTGCAGGTTTGGGTCGCCAGGGGCGATGAGGACGTTGGTAAGGACGGCGAAGTTGTAAGACTCCATTTCCTGAGTTTTTCAGAGTGTAGGGTTCAGGGCAGTTTAGGGTTTGAGGCAACATCTATGAATGCAGGACTCCGTTTCCTAAGCTCTGTAGGGCTTAGGGCTTAGGGGTTTCTAGGGTTGAAGGCGCAGGAGCAGGAGTTCAGAGTTTAGGGCACAACATTTATGTGGGACTCCACTTCCTGATTTTTCGCAAAGCATGCTATAGCAAGGCAGGCCATATTGACACTATGTTTGTATGACTCCATTTCCTGAGCTATTGCAAAAGAAAGTCCTGTTTACAAAACTCATGAAAGCAGGCATGCTATTTATCAATTCTCTGTACAATGGTAGCTTCTACCAGTAATACACTAGTCCCAGATCCCTAACTACAAAGCCCTGTAGGCCGTAATTATAGCACAACACTTTATAAGGCCTCCTGCGCCCTGAAACACTTGGGGTCTCAGGGTTTCGTGTTTAGAGTGACTAAACCCAAGAGTAACCTAGGAACAACAAGGGTGCCCTTTTTGGTTTAAAGGGGCTTATAAGGGAACCTGAACCCCTGAAAAAGGGAATAAGGGCCTACTCTAGGTCCTAGGTGATGCTACCCTCAATACCAACCCAGTGTCGTTGAGGTGGCCGAACTGAGAGATGGGCTCCAGACGGTACCAAACCTGCGACAAATCCCGCACGGAGACCTCAGCAAGGCCAAAGTACGGTTTAGGGTTTAGGGTTTAGGGTTACAATCCGGGCAATCACAATCATGTTCAGTCACACAAGTTACGGAAAGAAAGCATCTTACCGTCGCCATCTTAGCAGCATCTACTGACAAAGGCCCACTTGTTGTGGCTAGTGTGGCTGACTGAACAAATCATGGCGGCCATGGCTATGACTATGACACGGTTGCTCCCAGAACATTCCATCCGGACCTGAGAGCTCCCACGCAATCCTGAAAATGCTGGAACTCTCCGAATATGAGATGGCCTGCACGTTTGTAATGTGGAGGTTCTTCACCTGTCACGCTCGCCAGTCATTGGATGTTGAACACAGGGCTCTGGGGAACCAAAGGGGCATGTCGACGCAGGCGTGTTCCATGAAAGAAAAGTACGCCTACTTGGACCCCTCCATCTCCCCCACCTCCTCCCCCTGCCCATGTCAATGGGTCTGCCAATGTCGTGGCACCCCATGCGCTGTCTACACAGCCCTCCAGAAGCCTTTATCAACACTTGTAAAACCTTACTAAAGACCCTACACATCCCTTTAACCAGTTGGGAAAGAATCATTAAGACCTTACGATACTACAGGGTCCCAGCGCCTCCTTCTGTGCCAGTGCCACGAGCTTGGGGCTCAGGTCATAGGCAACCACCTCTCTCTCTTTGGTTTTGTGTTAGGTCTACATAGTATACACAACTGTAATTCACATATGGACATATCTAGATACGAAGATATGTGTGTACGTCCATATGTATGTCTTTTGACTACCCAGATCCAGGGGCTTGGGGTGCTGGGAGCTCGTGGAACCTCCTTGCATGGATCTACAGTACCGCCTGGAATAGTCAGAACTGATATGTGTACGGCAGATCCATGTGGGCAGTTGTCAAAATGATGGGCCCTTTTTGGGTACCCTAAATACTAGGTGCCGTAATGTATTAAAAGCCCCAAAAAGGACCATAATTTTGACAGCCATCCATGTTGATGAAAGCTTATGAGGCGAATGCAACCCCCAGGGGGCCATGGACATCCCTCTCGCCTGCTGAAAATGCTTGGCAAGCTTGTGCAGGTACCTGAGCGACGGTGACTACTTGGAAGGGCAGGGGACTTAGTAAGTAGGTTACAAGTAGGGTTATAATTGGGGTAACTCCATTTAGGGTACTTATAACTCTACTTATAACCTACTTACTAAGTCCCCTGCCCTTCCAAGTAAAGAATCGAAAGCTTTAAGTGACCTTCGGTCTGATCCTTCTCCACCCCCAAAGGGCCCGAGTAACCATATAGTATATACTTTGGGGTACTAAGTACCGACTATCATGGTATTTGGACCCTTTGGGACCGTGGGGGTCTATATAACCGATCCTGGTGTCTAATTACTCTTCTTCTTTAGTCTGTGTGGCCCGGAGGGTTTTACGTTGGGGCCGGAACAGACTTCATTAAGCTCATGTGGCTTAAGGACTGCTGCGCTCAGACACCGCGGTCGGACGAACAAGCGACAAAGAACGGGGTCTAAGAAGCCTGCATGAAGCCACGCAACCAGCTCCACTCCACCCAACCTTGACCAAAGACCTTATACCCAGTACCCTAAGCTCTAGACTGTGTCCAAGCATCAACCCACGACCCAGCCCTGAGGCGCTAGAGCTACTAAGCTGCTAGCCCCACGAACTTCCATGAGATCTTCATCAAGGAGGAAGTTGAGATTGAGGGTGATAAAACTAAATGATGACTAGGATGGCGATTTTTAGGGTTTAGGGTTGTCCCACAAGAAGACCTGCCGCCTGACGGGGTCGCAAGCCCCTCCCAGTCTCAAACAAGCAACTCTCCTTCACCCCGTCAGGGCTTAAGGGTCCTTAGACCCTAAATCCCTAAGTACCTCTAAAACCTTAAACCCTTAAAGGACCCTAAACCCCTGAGCACCCCCAAACCCCTAAAAGGGTGTTTAGGCCCTAGGGCTTGCGGCTATATGGGCTTCAGATGCAAAGTTCGGCGGCAGGCCTTTAGGGTTTAGGGTTTAGGGCCCTAAATCCACGCCATCGAAGACGCTCGAAAGCCCACAACCGGGGTTGTTGTTTTTTTGTTGAGGGCCTTTTTGGGGTCCGCGCAATGCACTTTCGCAACCCTGATTGGGTAGGCTCCCTAGCATCGGGGTTAGTTTAGGGCGCAGGGTTTCCTTTGCAGGCTCTAGCGCTTGAATGCCACCTTTGACGCCAGGATTTCTGGCTTGAGACCAGCATCATCAGGTAAGGGCTCAGGTTACGTGAATGATGGGTCACTGGGTAGCATATTTTGTGGTTAGTAAACGACCAGTAACCTGCCATTTAGATGGGTAACTGGAGCCCGCGGGTATTATATGGGTAGCTGTCAAAATTAATGTACCGTTTTGGTACCCTAAATAATAGGTGCCGTATTATAATAGGGACCCAAAGAGTGACCCTATAATTTTGACAACCACATATATGCCCTAAGGGTCCATGTACACATATAGAGATACATGGGCCCCAAAGTACCTATATAGAGACTACATTAAGGCCAATGTATATACTATATGAGTACATGGACCCTCAGGGATGGTATGTGCATAGTACCCCACCCTTCAAATTATTGGAGCCCTAAGGTCAGACTAGCTGGGGATTTAGGGTTCAGGGTACTTCAAGGATCATGGGACTTAATAACTATAGAGTTATAACTAGGGTAACTCTACTTTATAACTACTTATAACCCCAATTAAGGTACATATAAGCTTACTTACTAAGTCCCATGATCCTCCACGTAGGTGTCTTTGGTGCTCTGTCACAAATCCCGACCAGAGATGATGGTGGGATGTGTCACTCCCACGCTGAGGCGGCGCTATGTAGATAGCTCAAGACGCGTTGATCGGAATATGCTTACTTTGGGATCAAAATTTGGGCCTGCATCGGTGGATAGTTCTTGGGCTCCGAAATTGTGGGATTTCAGCTCTAGGCTATCAGATTTCAGCGAATTTGGGTTTCGGGTGTGAGGTTTCGGGCGGAGATTGCACTTAGAAGGGTGAGAAGACCGAAACAAACTTGCCACTCAACCCAGGCAAAGCTTGAATCCTCCACAGCTAAAGCTGCTCACCCGAAATGTTAAGCCCGGGGACCCTCACATAAAAAGCCGTCAACCTTTTCAAGCCCTAAAACTCCCTTACAACCTTATATACATATAGAACTCCACTAAGTTTTTTAAATTCAGTTTTAGGGTTTAGGGTTTCAGAAATTCCTGTGGCGATCCTCGTAATCATATCCCCTTCTCATCCCTTTACAACTTCCGTAGAATTTACCATAAAGCTTCGGAATTAGAACCCTTTTCTTGGCCGCAGGGCTTCCCAGCGCCGCAGCCCAGATCCACACAGCGACCTTCGCTGCCCTCCTTCCGGGCGCACGCCTGCGGTTAGAATTTTCAAACCCTAAACCTAAACCCGGTTCTTTGAAGGGTTTCGGAGCTCTTGGTTTGGGCTTGTCTTATTGGGGTTTGAGGCTTCGGGTCGCTGTCAGGTTTGGGGTGGAGTGGCTCCGGGTTTCTGAGGGTTTGGCATCACTTCAGGCTTGGATGCGTGGGGTTTAGGTTAGGGCGGTTAGGGATGTAGGCTTTCGCATCATAGATCTGTGGTGACTCCACCACCTGGAACAGTAATATCCTCATGTCCTTAAGGTAAAGTAAAGGCAATCCCGGTACTAAACATCTTACATCCTTGTTCCAACTTTCTGGGGTTAACTGTAAACCTTGTAGGTACTCTAGTTGGGGTGTGAAAGCTCAGGGCTTAGGCTTCTGAGCTTGAGAGTGTCGGTTCATAAAGCCTAATTAATAATCACCCAAGAACATACTTGCTTTTGTAGGGTCCGTTTAAATTCCACATTAGGGTTTCTACGGTTTCTACTACGAACCTACAAAAACCTACAAACAAGTAGGTTATGGTAGTTTAAGGCAGTGCACCAGTTGAACTTCGTGCCTCGATGGTCTGAGATATGATGCCGGTCTTGTCCTCATCGATCGTGGAGAAGATGTTGTCATCGTAATTCCGCGCCTGGTTTTGGGTTTTGGGGTTTAGGGGAACAACCGCAAAAGGATCAAACACCCACTTTAAAACACCTCATGGGAACGCTTGCAAGACCCTATTACCTGAGGCTTAAACCCTGCGACCCATCTGAACCCCTAAAAATCGAGCCCTTAACCTCTAAAGCCCAAGCCACTTAGAATTCTTCAAGGGGCCAGCTCTAGAGTAATTAAGCAATGTACCTTGAAAACATGGCCCTGACAAGAGGCACATGTACTTTTTTTGAGGTACCTCGGCTACTCTTCGGTAAGCCTAAACCCCAGAAGAGGAGCCCTAAACCTGCAACTCTAAACCCTAAATCCTAAACCTCTGAACACTAAACCCCAAACTCTCAACCCTAAACCCTCAACCTTTCAGGGAGCCTTCAGAGGCCTTTATAGGAACCCCAAAGGATCCCTTTAAAGGAATCATAGGAGCCCTTCAGGGAGCCTGAGCCCTTATGAACTTATGAAACCCTTCAGGGAGCCCTTATAGAAGCCTTATGAGGCCCTTATAGGAACCTTTATAGACTCCTTTCAAGGAAACATAGGAGCCCTTATAGGAACCTTATGAGGCCCTTATAGGAACCTTTATAGATCCCTTTAAAGGAAACATAGGAGCCCTTATGGGAACCTTTCTAGATCCCTTTAAAGGAAACATAGGAGCCCTTATAGGAACCCCAAAAGATCCTTTTAAAGGAATCATAGGAGCCCTCCAGGGAGCCTGCTGGTTCCAGTACTGAAGCGGCTGCTTCTCCATGGATCGAGTCATGGGCCGCTGCGTCGGTCGGGGCCTGGGCTTTAGCGTTTGGGGGGTTTAGGGTCTAGGGTCTAGGGTTTTAGGGTTTTTGGGGCTTAGGGTTTAGGGGTTTAGGGGTTTAGGGTTTAGGGTTTAGGGTTTGGGGTTCAGGGTTTTAGGGTTTTAGGGGTTGTAGGGGCTTATAGGGCTTATAGGGTTTAGGGTTTTAGGGTTTCAGGTTTAGGGCTTCGGGGATTTCGGGCCTTAGGGCCTTCGGGTTTTAGGGTTTAGAGGTTGAGAGGGTTTAGGGTTTTAGGACTTATGGTATGGGCTTTAAGACTTTAGGGACTTATGGTTTAGGGCAGGGTTTAGGGCTTGAGTTGTAAGCGGGCTTTAGGGTTTATGGTTTTTGGGCAGGGTTCAGTGCGTCAGGATTTTTTGGCTTTAGGGTTTTATGGCTATCAGGCAAGGTTTAGGGCTTCGGGGTTCTCGGGTTTTATGGTTCTAGGATTTAGGGTTGAGGGCTTCGTTACTAAAACCCGCAGCCGCAATGCCGACGACGATCGCCGTGCCTTACGGTATCTATTCTGTGTTCAACACCATTGTGACACAAGCCAGTATGAACCCTATGGTAACCCTTATAGCAATCCTTATAGTAACCCGTATAGTAACCCTTATAGTAATCCTTATAGTAACCCTTATAGTAACCCTTACAGTAATCCTTATAAACCCCCTTGGTTTAACACCATTGCGACGCAAGCTTGGCCCAAGAGCCCCGGGGTTGACGAAGGCCGGCGGATGGACGGCGCAGTTTGAGGGTGAGGCCCTGGCGCCAGAGATAGGGTTTAGGGTTTAGGGTTTAGGGTTTATAGGTTTTTTTTTTGTGAACCCTGTTTTCCGTCTGCCCCCGAAGGTTAGGTAGTGCCCAGGGCCTAGGGTAGACATTGCACCTAAGGTATGGGATTTCCCGAAAAAAGGGTTCTTTGTTACAGGTCAAACAAGGGTCTTAAGGGGTGTCAGAGGATTCTAAACAGGTTCTGGGAGTCAGGGTGATGCATCTATCCGGGAGGGTCCATATGGATTAAGTTACTATTGTGGAATCAGTTTTATAGACCTAGTTCCATAATGAGTGTATGTGCACCCTCGGGGCATGTATGAAGGTAGGGAACTAGGTCGGTCGGTGGCTGGGTGGGCGGGTATGTAGAGGTAGGTAGGTAGATAGGCCAGGCAGGCATGTGCATTATGTACATATGCAGATATGCATGCATATCTGTACATTGACATGAAGTCTATTGCACACTCATGTGCCTTGATGGCGAAGCCACCATGCAGCAACAGACTGTGGGATGCATGGCCTTGTTGTCTTTTTAAATTAAGCATAGTGGGTCAGCGGGCACTTGAGAAATCTAAACAGTGTCGCAGTTGTCCACAATCCGCAGCTGCGCCAAACCACTGCCCCGAACACTCGCGCTCAAGTTTCCGCCCCCAGAAGGCTCACGGATACCTGTACGAGCCTAGTAAAGTTTCGGGGAACCCCAGAAGGACCATGCCACCTACAGTTTCAGCCTTGGGTCAGGGTTGATTAACTTTCTCGTGCAGGGGCCAGGCTCAGAAGACAGCGGACCATGCTTGTATTGTAGCAGACCCTAAATGAGGGATCCTGATTTTTCGCTTAAAAAGGACCCAAAAGCTGCCCATGACTTTAAGGATCCCCGTCTCAGAGTTCTAGCGGTGCACCTGGAGCCTGGGCCCAAGTAGATCGCATGCTCGGCTTCTTGCTCCGGAAAGAGGACGACGTGGCCGCCATTGCAGAAGGCGTCCCTGGGAAGTTCACTTCAAGTAATATAGGGACCTTAAAAATTAGAATAGGGTTTCGGGGCCCATTATACTATAATTATCATAAGGAACACCCCCCAAAATAGTATACATAGGTAATTATTCAAGCAGGGTTTTAGTGCTCCCGGCATTTGGGCTCTAGAGGGTGCTGTTAAGGGTTCCTTTAAGGGTGCTTTAGGGTTTTTAGGGTTCCCTTGAGGATTCACCAGGAGCCTTAGGGTTTAAGGCTTGTTTGGGGTTTTGGGGCTTAAGGTTTAGGGTTTAGGGGCTGCAAAGGGCCCGTATGCCAAAGACGTATAAACAGATCGAAATCCTGCACCTCCACCTCTCAATCCTAAACCCCGCCAACCCCTGGAACCAAAATCCCGAGGTCCCCAGTCCTAAAGCCGTTGTTTAGGGTATGGGTTAAGGGTTTGTCATGTTGATGTGAGTGGAAAGTTCAAAGACCTCATCGGTATCTTAGTCTTCCACTCATCACTCGCATAGACCGAACCCGCAGCTCGAACAGCCCCTGCTATCTTTGTCAACGTCTGTTTTCTACATCCCTACAAGGCCCTGTAACCCTTAGCACGCAACTCAGTAAAACCTAAACCGCCTTGATAATCAGAACAAAGCTCCCTTTAAAGGGATCCTTAAAGGGGCCTACAAGGGATCTATAGCGTGGCTCTACAATATGGGGGCCTTGATGATTAGAATAGGGTTTTGGGGCCCGCTCTACTATGATTACAACAAGGAACCACCAAAATAGTATTGGTAGTGTTATTTAAGCCCCCTATAAATAGAACCGTACTATAGATCCCTTATAGACCCCTTTGAGGAACCCTTTAAAGGAACCCTATAGGTAAATATTCAGGCCCCCTTTGTCAAAGCACCGGGCTGCCTCGGCCCGGAGGAGCGTCTGCATCTCTCAGCGCAGGCACCGCTCGGCTTCCGACATGAGCCATTCCAGGTCTAAAGGCGTCTAACAAGGCTAAGGGTCTAGGATTCCTAGACGTTTCAACATTCCAAGACTAGGAATTTGAAATGTTTTTTACGTTATGCAAACACTTCCGGAGGCAATATGTAGGCTTCAGCTGCTGCTGTTGTTTCTTTTCCTCTCTATCTCCGACTGGTCTCCGCCCTACAACCCGCAAACTGCAAAGCCCTCAAACCCAGAACCCGTAATTTAAATCCCAGACCTCAAAACCCTTAAAGTCACCCTTATACCACGCGACTAGAATACACCATAATATGGACTATAGTACAAAGGCAGAGCCGTTATACAAGCCCCAACCCAGCGCACTTTAGCACTCCCGTGGACGTCAGGTTCCACCCGGCTCCTCTTGAGCCACAAGCAGTGAAGTCTGCGAGATCGATGTTACTCCGAAAGGGTACTTGTTATAGTAGGTACTTGGTAGGTAGATGGGCCCTCAAAGTATATACTATGCCACTACCTGGACCCTATTGGGACTGCTGGACTGATATTACGACTCTTGATAATGTCAGGATGATTGCATCTGCTTGTGTTATTATTACTATTACTACTTCTACCCTTGCAACACCAGCTACTACTACTACTACTGCTACTACTACTACTACTACTACTACTACTACTACTACTACTACTACTACTACTACTACTACTACTACTACTACTCTACTAATAATACTGGTAATGATAGTACCAATAATGACAATGCTGCCTTTGTTCGGCGGCATCGATGTTAGACTAGCGTTTAGGGCTTTTGGTAGCTAAGGGTTTTGGGATGTTTTAGGTCTTGGAGGGGTTTAGGGTTTAGGGTTTTAGGGTTGGGGCTCGCAGCGGTTGAGGGTTTAGCAGAGGCCCTATGCTGCAAGTTTAAAGCTTTGCTTATTTGGCTTTAGAGTTTTGGGTAACAAAATAATGTCTGGACAAACTTGGGTCCTACGGTTGATGCCCTAAATCCTGCATCGGTTTAAACTTCCCCTGCTACCCCCAATTTTAATATTGCACTGACACAGAGTCTAGAAAAAGCGTTTGCGCGAATGCCCAAAATCCTGCACGACCCCAGGGTGATGCAACATTGAAATTCAGGGCCTGCGGGGAAGTGGACAGCGCGACATCACATATGTGTGATGCTGTAGGTCATGCAGGACTTTGGGCATCAACAGTAGTTTGGGGTTTGGGTTGAGTGTTATGAATTCAGAATAATTGTTCTCGACATGTTTCAGAGCATCACCCGCAGAACAACGCCCTCTGAAGCCTGCAAAATACGCAGGTCATAACCCCATAACTATAGGGCCTAAGCGTATGTTCCTGTCAACTCGTCTCGGTGCCTCCATGCGTGATGGTGCCCGTCTTGTCAAAGACCATTGTACTGATCTTGCCGGCAATCGGGATCCTGGCTTGTGAGAGAGATCCGGCTATGTAACATAGAACTGATGTCAAAGAGTATACATTACTGCACATAGTAGTCAGTATTATACATAACTAATCATATTACGTAACATCATAATATGTACATATACTCTCTACTATATGGAGAGCATGCTCTGGGTGCTTTAATAGTCACCCGGTCGATCACAAAAAACTTTAAAATCTGAAAGCTCGCACCTTTAATCCTTGAATCTGAAGAGCGTCATCTTCGACTCGGGGCTCAAGATCTAGGTGCTAAAGCTTGGCGTGCAAGCTGTGCAGATTTGAAGCTCAAGGTTGTGGGTTTAGGGTTTAGGATGGTTTGGGGTTTAAGTAAGGCTGATATACGCGTTTGCTCAGGTCTCCATCGTGGGCTCCGAGCCTGCCGATGTTGAGGCAGGCGATCTCCCCCTCTTTGAGTCTGGAGGCACTGCAGCTCTGGCCCAGCGTGAAGGAGACAGCCTGGAGATCTGTGAGTTCCCGAAAATAGGGGATCCCAGTATGGTACGCTAACTATCGTAGGATCCTTACTATAAAAGACAGCAAAATAAAAGGTACCCCCCCTAATTTTCGGAAACTCCCATCTGACCCAAACCACATGAGCACGAACTCCCCGGAACCCTAAACCCTAAACCGATTAGGAAACTCTTGATTCTCCAGAGGGCTCCTCCAACGGATCACGAAACTCTGAGTCCCCAAAGTCTGAAGCCTTTAAACATAAAGGGCTTAGGGTTTAGGGTTTAAGGGTTTAGGGTTCAAAGTCTCTTCATGAGATTCAAAGATTATATAGACCCAAAGCTCATCTGAAAAAGACCGCATGTACGTGTCAGGAGTCAGAGGTTTCATAGGGCTTAGGGCCTTGCCCTGACAAGCTAGCGATCCGATGCGGACTTGAAGCAAGATGACGGGTTGACTTTCTTGGAACTTCAGGGTCCTCCTGATCTAAGAGGATTTCGGGTCTAGATCGTGAGCCCTACAAAACGCCAGCCGACTCTGAACCTAACGCCGGGCGCAGCCATGGAGGACTTCTTCGTGTGTACTGGGACTTGGATCCCTGACTCTTGCAGAGAAAGCCCCAAAACTCTAAACCGAATTAGGTTTTAGGGGTTTAGGGGTTTAGGGTTCAGGGGTCAACCCCAAACCCCAGAGCCCAAACCCTGTACTAGGCTGGCACGATGCAACAGGTTTCGCCCTTTGCGGCGCTGATGAGGTTCGGGGACGTGGGGAGACCCTATTAGAATGGATCCTTCATAAGGGAAGCTACACGATAGCACGGATAGCCACACACATACATACATATGTATATATGTATGTATGTATACATATATATATATATATATACATAAAAAATATTCAAAAGTTTTACAAAATAAAATAATGTATATATACAAAATAAAATAATGTATATATATATATACATATTACATGTATGACACTTACACGCACATAGTTTGATGTATATACATGCATTCTGATAATGTGCAACAACCATACTAGATCCTTAATGCACGGACACGCAAAGTTTCTGGAACCCCTTGCACTCACGACTGCAGTCGAGGATCCATCATCGGGTTCAGAGCTTGCGCGAGGAAGGACATGCCTCAAAAGTCATCGGTTTCGAGTTTATAAAGGCGACGATCCGAGATGCAGGTCGGGCAGACATGTACCCAACGGGTCCAAGTATCATTATGGTATATACTTGGAGCCCAAAGATACCCTATAAGTATATACCATGATGATACTTGGACCCTCTCGGGTAGCAGCCGAAGTCCACCCTTCGCACAAATATCGAAACGCATATGGCCAGTCGTGAGTTGCGTAGTCTTTGCTCTGGCCTTTCGGGTTCGTGCTTCCGGTATCCCTAGGCGCCCATATGCCCCTTCAGTACAGAAACTTAGACCTTGCAGTACTCCCTATCTACATAATTTAAATAATACTACCGCAGGACGAAAGTTCGCCACACTGCCTTTAGCTCAACATATGTAGTCGTGCCACCCCTTTTCCCCCCTAGACTCCTCCACAAGATTATAGTAGTATAATTATAATTTTATTCCAGGGAATTAACTACTCCGCCACGCTGGCCACGTAAAACGGACTTCTGGCCTCCCCGCTTCTCCGCGGCACATGTGCATGGTACTTTGTGACAATCCTCCGTATGTCGAAACTTTTGTCCAAGTGATGTACAAGGCCATGGTTTAGACTATATGGGTATATGGACCCGCAACCTTCAGGGTTTAGGGATTAGGGTTTGGGCTTCCGGCTTGGCTTTTTGAGAGGACCCTATCTCCGTTGCTTTCGACCCTGATCATACATGTAGACATGCACAGAGACAGCCGGATAGAGATACACATGTGTACCGCAGGATCTGTGTTTGTTGCTTTGGAAAATGCAGCATATGTGCACACTCATGCGTGTACATGAACATGTGCATTCGCAGAGAGCGAGCTCGACTCGGCGATATAGCCAGAGAGCGAGAGAGAGAGAGAGAGAGATGTATATATATATATATATATATATATATATATATATACACATATATAGATATGTATATAGATATATGTATACAGAGAGGGGCAGATGCATAGATAGCTGGATGGATAGACAGGTAGATGGACAGGTACAGATAGACTTAACATAGATAGATAGATAGATAGATAAATAGAAATGATAACAAAAACAGAGAGAGGTTCAATTCATGAACAGATAGATGGGCACAGAAGAACTGAATAGAGTAGAATGCATTCGCTTAGAGTAGATCAGAACAGACTGGCCTAGACTAGGTTAGCCCAGATTAGTTTAGCCTAGATTAGGTTAGATTGGCTTGGGTTCGATAGACAAAGCAGCTATAAAATGTACATATACATTTACACACATGTCTGTATATACGCATGTACATGTACAAACGTACACATGTATGTCTGCATGTATGTGAGTAACTATGAATGTATGCATGAACCCAATACCCTATAGTCTGAACCCTCAACATGCAAAACCAACCTGCGGCATCTTCAATGAACCGTTGCTGACGATAGCCTCAGGAGCGGTGAAGCCTAAACACTTAAAAGTTAAAAGTTAAAAGACAAATTCGGGCTTTCGGGGGCTTGCCTCGCCTGCGAAGCAGCCGCTGATCCAGCCCTGCCCCTGGAACATCAAGGTGTTGGCGAAGCAGAAAGTAGCCTTTGGGGCAGGTTTAGGATTAGGGGGCTGGCTGGGTTTGGGACTTGCAAGTCCTAAACCCTAAGCACTTCGTAGGTCAAAGTGTTGTTAGGAGATTCCGACAGCTTCATTGCGTGGAGGGGCGGCCGTCCGCAGCTTTGCTTCCAAGAGCCCTATGAAACCAGGGTACAAAAGGGCCTCTACAGTCTAAACTGCAAACCCCTAAACCCTAAACCCGTAAACCCTTGAAGTTAAGCCCTACCTCGAGATCCAAACGTTCACAGATCAGGTCTTGGATTGAACCGGAATTCATGAAACCTCCGGGCTTAAAGGCTTAGGGCTCACGGTGTAGAACGAGGTCGCAGCTTCAGGGTGTTGTTAGTGATGGTATCGCTTCTTCTTCTTCATGTCTTGAGGGCGCACTTCTTGCAAACGTTCGTTCACTCTGAAAAAGCCCTGAGCCGTGTCGTGTTTCAGAGCTTTCTAAGCTCAAACCCTTTAAACCCCAAAGCCCAAGCCCTGTCCCCAAACCGTGAAACCCTTAACCCCAAACCCTAAACCGTGCCAGGGCTGCCCAGGCCGTCATCAATGCGTAGACCCAGGGAAGCTGCTCCGTGTATTTAAACTTCACGATGGCCTCACGGGCCCAAAAACGTTTTAGGGTTTAGGGAACTGTAGACTTAAAGGGTTTAGGGTGTAGGTTTAAGGCTCTGCCTAGACAAGCCTGCATTGTCGTATCTTTTGTGGCGAATCAGTTTATGTGACAACAAAGTAATATCTTTCTTTGGTTCTGCCGTTTTAAAAAATGTTCGCTACTATGGGAATCTTACCATGCAAGAGGGTAGCCAAAACCCTGACTATGAACACCGAACACTCAAGGCCGGAAGACCCAAGGCATCTTCTGTGCTAAAGAGTGGCTGGAAAGAGGACCATTCGAATGAGCTTGCCCTTGGTAGTCCTCCCACCAATTCGCATCCTCGGCACCCAGGTCTGGGGACAGTAAACTAGCACACGAATACTTGGAGGTTCATGGGTAGTTATAAGTGGGGGCATAAGTAGGGTAACTATAATTATAACCCATATTAGGGGACTTATAACTCCACGTATAGCTACCCATGAATCTCCAAGTAATCGGGCTGCTAGCTTGGAGTTGTTCCCTCAAGGAAGCATGAGCCGGTGCTGCGGAGGGCGAGCCATGCTCCTAAACCCTAAGCGCGGATGCCAAACCCCAAAAGGGGTTCGTGTTGAGGAGATAATAAGTTTTAGCTACCATGACGGGGATCTTAGGGTTTAGGGTTTAGGGTTTAGGGTTATACAATAATTCCTGTTCATGAAAACCAATTAAGATTAAACCCTTGAACAAGAACCTAATAAACCCTATCGCCTATCGACAAATGTATACCTTACACAACCACCGAGAATTCACTAATCCCTGAAACCCTAAACCCTAACCCCTAAACTCCTACACCTCTAAACCCCTAATTAAACGCCTACACCTCTAAACCCCTAAACCCTAAACCCCGAAATCCTAAACCCTGGAGACCCTACCGACGCGCACCGCGAGGTCGCAAGGGTTCGCCTCTTCGGCGCGTAGGGTTCAGGGATCTAGGGAAGGGTTTCGGGATGGAAGGTTTAGGGGATTACGGCTTAGGGATTAGGAGTTTAGGGTTTGGGGATTTGGTTTAGGGTTGAGGGATTCAGGGTTAAGGATCTCTAAATTCAAATTTCCCTAGGTTCCAAACCCCACTACATCAAAGAGATAATGAGGTCGCGCGCTTCAAAGGTGGAAAAACACTAGGTTGCCGAGCCAGAAATCAGGATCAGGCTGGGTCAGAGCTTTGCTGACAAAGTCCAGAGGCAGGGTTTAGGGTTCATAGAAGTTTAGGGGTGGCTCTCTCTTCTACATAAGCTAGGCAGGAGTTCCAAACCCTAAATCGGAAATCCTCAACTCATGAAGCAAGGCACGAACCAAATTCTAAGCTTACACTCTAAACCCCTAAGCCCTCAAATCATGAAGAAGGCAGCACACACCAAACCCTGAACCCCAAACCCTCAAATCATGAAGCGAGCAGCACATTCTAAACACTAAACCCTCAAATCATGAGGCAAGCAGCACGACGCCGATGGCATAGTCCGACCCACGATTTGCATTGGCAGCTGCTTCTGGGACGCTCTGGAGGACTTCAGTACCTGCTGCACCGTCATGAGGGTTTAGGGTTTGGGGTTTTACGGTTTAGGGGTTTAATTAGGGTTTGGGCCCGCAGCCCCTGAGCCTCAAGGTCTTTTGTTAGGCATTGTTTTCCTCCGCTGCATTTGTCCATGGTTTAGGGTACTGGGCTTCTTCAGGCTTCGTCTGATGTGCGTCAAGGTTTCCTTTTACTCTCTTCTTCAACAACCGGGCCCCAAAACGTTCAAACTTTCTCAGATAGAGCTAATATAAAAGGCCAAAAAGTTTAAAGTTCCCCCGTTCACTATCTGAGTTTAAACCCCTAAACCCTAAACCCTAAACCTTAAGATTACGGCGGAGGCGGTTTCGGGAATTTTTCGGTGGAGGGCCCTGGGCTCCTCGGACGACCCCTAGGCTCAGGCCGGAGCCCCCCTGTGTTCCCTACCTCAACCTACCAAAACCTACGTTTTTTTTTGTAAGGGCCCTATAAATTCCATTTTTTGGGTCTATATTAAGAACCTACAAAAGAGTAGGGTTTGGTAGGTTAAGGTAGTATACAAGTGATCCCGAACTCCTCCAAGCATGTTTGTCTTACCGGGGACTTCGGGTTCTGCCGGCTGAGCTAGACTGGTAAGGTTTGCAACCTGAAGCCAAGATCGGATCTTTCGATCTGATGGCATGTCTTTTCCGCTCTCTGAGGTTCTCGCCGTCGAGGGTCAGCTCAGCATCGCAACAGCTACATTGTACCAGAACTGGTTGAGGAGTTAGAATAAGTGAAAAGCTATCAACTGTGCAGAAGCAGTGACACGGGGCAAGCTGTCCGGAAGAGTAAACGTTGAATCATTGAACCATGATGTTGGAGGAACCCTAATGGTCTAAGCCTGCAGCTACAACTTGTCGATATACCTTCAAACCAACCTTCTGAACTGCACATTCGCGGGTCAAGATAAGCCTCGAAACTACAAATTCGCGAGAGAAGCTGTGCCTAGAAGACAGCGTGCACGACACATCGACGAAATCGTACTTGCTGAACTACTATGCCACATCAATGTCTGCCGCTCAAAAAAAGGGCCCCTAAACCCCACATCCTAAATTTTGTATATTAATCCTAAACTCCAAACCCCAAAATGGTAGTGCTCCCGAGACTCTCTGGGCAGGCCTGCAAAAAGGCCATGCTTCTTTCCATGGATCTTGTCGTCAAACGGGAGGGTGGACATTGCTTCCATCGCCACCTCGCAAGGTGCTCCCTCATAACTATGACCATTATTATCATCGTGGTTATCGTCATTACTATTCTTGTCAAGATTGATTGGTATTGTTTCTATGACTGCGATTATTCCCATTTCCTCCACTCTAAACTCTAAACTAGGATGAGCGATTCTTTGCATACAGTGCGCCGCTCATAGTTTCTGCTCTATTGTGCCTTCCTATACTACATCGTGATGCTTAGTCATCATTAGCTGTGCGGGATTCTACTTGAGTTGGTCTGAGTGATAGCAGGCTCCCGAAGGACCTAGACCCTGAACCCCGAATCCTGACGTGAACTACCAAAACCTGCTTTATTGTAGTAGGTTCATAGTGTAAACCCTAATATAGACTTTATAGAGGCACTACAAAACAATAGGTTTTAGCAGTTCGGGTAAATCCATATCTAGAAGCCACGTTAGCAAGAATGCTGATAGCGGCGAAAGCAGGTGATATTACCCTTATAGCCTTTCAGCTCCGAAGGTTTTCTCCACAGCGAAACGCCCTGCACTGCTTTGGGGTGTAGACTGTTCAGGGTTAGGGTTTGGGGAAGGGTTCAGGAGCCAAGGAACAACCCAGAACCCGGGACCGACCTAGTAAGGTCAGCACGACATCACTACTTCGCACAGAAACTTTTGGATTAAGTAAATCTGCAAGTCCTTGCGAAGCCGCTCTACTACAAGTACAATACTACTTTCTGATCCTTCATGTTAGGTCGGACCAATCGCAATCCAGGGCGGAAGCCTTCTGTAGCGGCATGGGCTCCCCGGTCAGCATGCTCCTAGCATGCAGGTTGTCCTAAACCACGGGATCTAGATGTCACATGAGTACATGGAGCATTGTGGGACTTAGCAAGACACGCTTTCGAATACCCTAATTGGGACTTGAGCATCTATAGCTATAAAACTACCTCATTGATAACCCTATAATTAGTTGCTAAGTCCCGCGATCCTCCAAGCAAGCTTGGGGGCCGCGGGTGTAGCATCCACCGCCCACCCCCGCGGTGCCTATTCTCCAACAAGGGCTTTCAAACGAACCCCAGCTCCCCCACCCTGAACCCTAAACCCAAAACCCTGCATCCTCGGTATGCTCTGTCTCCCTCTCCCTCCCTCGTTCTCTGGGTTTAGGGTTTAGGGTCTCTCTCTCTCTCTCTCTCTCTTTTGCCCTATCTGCCTCTTTCTTTGTTCTCTGTCTCAGAATTCAATAGTCACTCCAGATCTCGCAACCCGAGCACTCAAAAGTCTAGTCTTTGCCTCGGACTTACCTTCAGTTTTAGGACATAATGGGAATTAGTTTGCTGAACAGATCAATCCAAGCGTCTCATTCACCACGGCACTGCCCGACACCTTGCGGCCAAGAAAGCTACCCGAATGTCTCCGGAGTTGCTCTTGGCCACGATTCCAACGTTGACGTCAATGGGCACAGGCTGTTTTGTGCTTCAGTACCAGACACAGGAGCTTAGCCAAATCATGGCATGGATGTCATACTTCGGGGCCCTTCGTAAACTAGATTTCTTTCCACATAGCCCTTGCAACGTCGCCCTGGACAATAATGGCCAATGAGCCTCGAAGGAAACCGTCAACTCAAGAAGGTCCGGTATCTTGTTCCACAGCTACTCTACCAAAACCCAGAGCCTGCTTTACTCGAGTTCTTCTACCAGCACGATTCGTAGTTGCGTGTGCCAACAAACTGTGTCCGCCTTAGAACCATAAAAAACAATATGCTAAATATCCTCTTGGGTTTTATATGAACAAGAATACAAAACATAACTCCTAAGGAGACTATAACAAATGTATCACGACGACTAGTGCTACCATGACTGTCTATGGTCCAGGGTGCCTGGACACATTCAATCCCCGCACTCAAAGAAACTCTGAAAGCAACCTTGGAAGGTAGCCTTCAAACGGAGCCCTTAAAGAACGCCTTTAAAGCAAGCAAACTTCAGAGGTCACGTTTGGCCCAAGCACCAGTGCGATGTCAGCCGTTACCATGCCATCGAAGACCTTCGGAGATGCTGACTTAAGCTCTGAAGACCCTAAAACCCCAAAAGCAACAGGGTTTAGGGTTTACGCTTTATAGGGCTTGCACTGAAATTCTAGGGCAAGCCATGACAACGAAAACAAGCAGCCCGACCAAAATTAACCCTCAAAGGAACCCTTGTCGAACCACTGTCAAAAGATTTTATAGCAGCCTGAACCCCCAACCCGCCCTTCCTCATGTTTCGAGTTTTGGGGTGCTGTTCTTCGGTTCTTCCAGTCTCCGGGCTTTTGGGGCTTAGCGCCATAAGCCTAGAGACTTTTTGAGCCTTCAGTTTATGGGATGTAATCCCCTTTCACAGGGTTCCTTAAAAAGAGCTCCTTTGAAAGGCTTCTATAGGGGAACTTACAAGCGTTCTATACGGGCTTAGTGTACGGGCCTGAACAATCAGAATCCCAAAGGCTCTATGTACCTTTATAGTAGATACTTAAGCCTTAAAGGAGTCCCCATGTAGGTACTTTCAGGCCAAAGTATGTACTATATCTAGACCAAAGAGTAACCTAGGGATAAAAAGGGTGCCCTTTTTGGGCTAGAGGGTGCTATAAGGGGAACTAAACCCTAAAAAAGGGAATAAGGGCCTACTCTGGGTACTATATGGGTACATGGAGCCTTAGGGAATAGGCAAGCGAGGATCCTGGAACCTGAAACCCATATTAGTATTTCTATTAGTATTAGTAGCAATATTAGTATTAATATTAGTATTAATATTAGTATTAATATTAGTATTAGTATTAATATTAGTAGTAATATTAGTATATAATATGATCCCGTGTGTCCCTGCGTTTTTTTTTTTCATTCTGGGAGGGCTCAAGGTCAGGGTTTAGGGCTTTGGGGGCTCAAGTCGAAACCCTACTAGGGCTTAGGGATCAGGGCTGAGGGTTAAGGGTTCAGGGTTAAGGGTTCAGGGTTGAGGGTTCAGGGCTTAGGGTTCAGGGTTGAGTGTTCAGCGGTTGCAGGCCTTGGGGTTAGCGGTTCTCGGCTCAATGACGTGCACGGGAGGCATTCGGCTACTGTGAGTTCCAGGTTCACGTTAAGATTTTGATGGGTTCAAAAGGGTTTAGAGTTTAGGGTGTTATCATCTGATTCCAGATTCGACACCACGGACTCCCAGAAGGTTTTTTGCAGCACGTCGAGGTCGAGAAGTCGATGGCTATTCCGAGATTTGCAGTGCGCATGGGCTTACCCAGACCTCCTCGAGTCCTCTACACCTATGCCGAAACGCATGCTTTTACAACCGCAACTTACTCCGTTCTTTCGCCCGAAACCCCAATCACTAATCCTCAGACCCTCAACATCCCTCAACCCTCCCCTACAAACCATGGACAAAGCCTCACTGAAGGCAAAAGGGTTTGGATTTGGGATTGGTGCATGTAAGAAAATAAGGGATCCAACTGAATATCGTTGAAAACCCTATATGGTTAGATGCTTGTTATAGCGACCCTCGCAGCACGTGCCCCTATATTCTTATAGCTAAAGCCAAAAAAGCCTGAACAATGTCTCCGACGGTCAAGTCGGTGGCTTGGATCTCCTTGCACAGAGACGAACCAAGTTTTTGGGTTTACTAACTACTGGTCAAAATTTTCAGTTTTCAGACTGGGAGCTTTAGAGTCTTAGGGTCTTAGGGCCTCGTGGAACAAACATAACACCCTTCTGGTGTCGGGTTTAACCCCACCGTCCAGGCACGACATGGATGAAACCTTGAAGCATTGAACTTTCGATGTGGCGAAGCCTTGAACCTGTAAACCGAACGCACCTTGCCGAAAGCACGCACCTATTCGAACTTCTTTCTGTAGCAAGCTAGCTTGCGATTTTGCTGAAGCTGCTTTTCATTCAGGGGCCTCAGACCGATTCCACTGCCATGCAAGGCGCCGGAGCAGATTAGGCTACGGACTCCTCCCGAGGCTTTCGGACGCCCATGCATGCAGGCACGGAATACACGGGCCTGAACGGTTAGAACGGGGTTGGGTATACTGCAGCACATACATACATACATACATACATACATACATACATATATATATGTACATACTCACATGCATGTGTCTATACAACTACATATTTACATACCAAAGCCATACTACTGAACACAAACATCCTTTCTCGAGACTAACATGCTTATCCGGAATCTCACCAGCCTGACTCCTGTAAGCAACATACCTGAGGAACTACTGTTGATGATATAAATCCTGCATTACCTTAAGGGCCCTAAACTATGGGAATTATGATATATTCCTTATTATGGGTAATGCAGGATTTATATCATCAACCGTAGAACCACGAAACTCCGGAATGCTGCCGCTGCCTACCCTACCCCTTCAGCCTAAACCCATAAAGCAACTTTAGAAGCTGCGCGCCAAGCATCCTTCCATTTGCCATCGCGGAGTACCCGCTGGGGCTTTGTATCGCTTGCTGCTGCCATATCCTGAACAGACCCTCCTAAACTGCGCATGCTAAACTGTAATTAAACTCGATCCTCTACATCATCGTTGCACCCCAACCCCCGTCAAGAACACATGCCTACATGTATGTATGTATATATATATATATATATATACATACATACATACATGTATCCCTATATTACCGCATGGGTCGGAAAGATGATATCCGACCGAGCACAGAAGTCATGCATCCAAGGCTCCTGTCCCATGCAACAACCCTAAACCCTAAACCCTAAACCCCAAACCCTGAAACTGTCAATCCGGGACCCACAGGCCTGGAGACGATACTAGTGGCAAACTTTTAAGGATAGCCATGAAGGAGGTGATTAGTCATAGGCCCCAAAGTAGTTCCTTTTTGGGATTACCTTATAGGATTCTAATCTGAACCCTAAAAAGGAACTACTTTGGGGCCTGCCTCAAGGTAGTCTTACTTGCCAATGCCACTGCTCAGGCGACGATACTGACGAGAATGGCGGTTGCAGGAACCCTAGAGCGTACCCTTAACCCTCAAACCCAAGCTGCGAGCAAGCAGCGGCAATCTGCTGCTGATTCTGCCGGAGAATGACAAGACTCGTCCTCACAGCAGTCCAAAATCCAAGGGTAAAAGGAGGGACCCTTAATAAGGACCCCTAGGTATATACCCTTACATTATATAGCCCATTATAGGGACCCAGGTGTCGCCATTAATGGTCCCTCCTTTTCCCCTTTGACAAAACAAGATGCCTCAAAGCCTTCTATGGAGCAAACCTGCAGGTGCCTTTCAAGCGAAACCTTCGACTGTGTACACCCCGAGCCGTAAAGCCCGAGCCCAATATCCGGTTTAGGGTTTAGGGTTCTTAAAGCCCTAAGCATTCGGGAGCGGACAAAACACTAAGAAGCCAATCACATAGACCTATAAAGAAAACAACGCTGCACACCGCAAATCCACGATAAAGCTGCACATCTCCTGTTGCTTGGTGATGCGTCGAGTTGGTGAAGCAAGACTAAAGCTGTGCTGCCGGGCTATGCGGGTTTAAGCACCATGATGACAATCCCAAATCCTAAACCAATTCATGTGTTAAACCTTCAAGGCCTTAAACGCCCCAAAGCCCCCAAAGCCCATGAACCCTAAACCAACCCCAAGCCTCAAACGGCAAGCTATACACTAAACCCCCAACCCTTGTAGATCCTTTATAGGATCCCTTTAAAGGAACCCTAAACCCTTGTAGATCCCTTATAGGATCCCTTTAAAGGAACCCTAAGCCTAAACCCTTATAGATCCCTTATAGCCTCCCTTTAACGGAACCCCAAGCCTCAAACGGCAAGCTATACGCTAAACCCCCAACCCTTATAGATCCTTTTTAGGATCCCTTTAAAGGAACCCTAAACCTTTATAGATCCCTTATAGGACCCCTTTAAAGGAACCCTAAACCCTTATAGATTCCTTATAGGCTCCCTTTAACGGAACCCAAGACTCAAACAAGCCCTCAAAATGGGAGTTTCCGAAAATAGGGGTACCTTCTTTTGGGGTCCTTATAAGAAGGATCCTCCTATTCAGGGTACCATATTAGGGTCCCCTATTTTCGGAAACTCCGAAATCTGTGTGCAACGAGGAGGCCAAGCACCGGTACCGAAAACAAGGGAGAACCACAGCGCGGCCACATTCCTGGGTTTTAGGGGTTTAGGGGTTTAGGGCTTAGGGTTTAGGATTTGGGGGTTCAGAGCTTAGGGCTTAGGGGTTTAGGGTTTAGGGTTTAGAGTTTAGGATTTGGGGGTTCAGAATTTAGGGTTTAGGGGTTTAGGGTTTAGAGTTTAAGATTTGGGGGTTCAGGGTTTAGGGTTTAGAGTTGGGGGTTCAGAATTTAGGGTTTAGGGGTTCAGGGTTTAGAGTTTAGGATTTGGGGGTTCAGAGTTTAGGGTTTAGGGGTTTAGGGGCTTAGGGTTTAGAGTTTAGGATTTGGGGGTTCAGAGTTTAGGGTTTAGGGGTTTAGGGTTTAGAGTTTAGGATTTGGGGGTTCAGAGTTTAGGGTTTAGGGGTTTAGGGTTTAGAGTTTAGGATTTAGGCGTTCAGAGTTTAGGGTTTAAGGGTTTAGGGTTGTATTTTTGGGGACGGGTGACGCTTGGGGCTCAAACGCGAGATATTTTACGGATTTGCTAATGGGGCCTGTGCGGGTAGAGGTCCGGTTTCAAAATTGTTGAACCTCAGCTCACACCGTGAATGTTTGACTATGACTAAGATACCAAGTACCCTTTTGTTTCATCTTTAGATTTTCCACAACACCTCAATCATTCAAAGCTAGGTTGGGGGCATACCGTCGCCGAGAGTTGATAGGCTTTAGCGCTTTTGAACGAGGGGTCAAGCGTCTGGAGTGTGCTTGTTCAGGGCAACAACCTGCATCTGACTGTTTCAAGGCTTACAGTTTGGGGCACAGTACTGTTGGTTCAGCTGTCGGGGAGACTTACACACATCAACCCACGACCATGCAACAAGCAAGCTCTCTCGGAAACTACCGACGACCTGTGATCTTCCACCTGTGTTGTTCCCCCCTCCAGATGGAGATCCTAGTAGATCCTTCATATGCCCCCTCATTGCTGCGAAGAAGTCGCACGGTACTAGAAAGTGGGCATGAAATACTGGCACGAACAACAACATGCGACAAGTTTATCGCTTCTGCATGCTGACTAAACAAACTTCATTCGTTCAAGCAACTTTGGCAGCAACATGTTGCTTCTCTCCACAGGCTCTTCGGAGCTTGTGCTGTTGACCCTTCCTCTGGTCTTTCAGTTTGGCAGAACTAGGTCGCTCTACAGTATGTCTTGTCTTCACTTGAGCTGAAGAACCGGTCAAATGCAGCGGAGCCACCATGAGTTCCAAAAGAGATAGACCCAAATGCACGACCTGAGTCAAACAGCTTTTAACCGGTTTTCCAAAACATGTACGCCCAAAATTCTATGCCATGGTTAGTTGTGCCAGAACTTCAGGCGCGTTGTCTTACAAGTTGAATAGTCTGTACATTCGGGAATGAACTCTGAATAGGACTAAGTGAAAGCCGTTGGGCCACTGGGCACCATAAAGTCCTAAGTCCTAGCCGGCCAACAGAAGAAGAAACGAGACCATACCTTACATCCGGAACCCTAAACCTCTCTTCTTCAACAACGGGCCCCGAAAAGTTCAAATTTTCTCAGATAGAGCTAATACAAAAGGCCAAAAAATTGAAGTTCCCCCGTTCACTATCTAAGAAACAAAACTCTAAACCACAAGACCCCAAAAGCCAGAACCCTGAACCTAAACCGCAAAGCCCTAAGCCTAAGACTTCCACCCGAAGCCCAATCCAAGCAACTGCACTCAGAACTTGCCTTACGTTTGGGGATCTCGGATTCGAACCCCCCAAGAAGGATTGCCTGGACCCTATGACATATACAAACCAAGCCTTTTTAGGGCTTCTTACTATGATACCTTTGTGCAAGCCCTTAAAAGCAGGAGCGCACCAGGACAGGGGACGTTCGTGGGAGACAGGTCAGGAAGTCGCCTTGATTACTTTTTTGGTCTACTAGGATGTACTACTGGGCATCCTAGCTTAGGGCTTTGGTGTGTTCAGGGCTTCTTCAGGCGGAGCCCCTCACATCTCCACCTTCTCGCGACATTCCGACCGAGTGTTTTTAAGCCTTTCAGCCCTAATGCCCCCAAGCTACCCTAAACCCCAAACCCCTAAACCCCTCAACCCGAAACCCCCAACCCCTAAACCCCTAAACCTCTAAAACCCCTAAACCCCTCAACCCGAAACCCCTGACCCCTAAACCCCTAAACCCCTAAACCCCTAAACCCTAAGTCTCCCGAGGGGCCCTAAGTTCCTACATAGTAGAAAGCAGGGCCGGGTTTTAGGGTTCAGGGTTTAGGGTTTCTTTTTGCAGGACTATTGCTATCTTGTAGGAATTCTTGCTATGGTCCTTTGCCGGGTTCCTTTTTTGTAGGAGTTACTGCTATTTGGCTATTTGTGTAGGAATTCTTGCTATGGTCCTGTGGGTGAGGATCCTTCACTTGCACTACCAAAACGCTGCAGTCCTTTAGTGGGTTGTTTAGTATTTGGGGTTTAGGGTGGGTCTTTATGAATTCTGTATCAGGGATGCATTAGGTTTTACAGCTGCAACAACTGGGCTGCACCCAGTTCGATGTCGACTCTAAACTCTCAATCCCAAACCGTTTCCGGACTACAGCTGCCAAGCTGCAATTGAAATACATATGTCCTTGGTAAGGAACCCACGGTGCCATGCAAATGTGAGCAGGGTACGGACACTCCGCACCATGCGGGAGATTCCGAAAATTAGGGGTACCTTATTTTGAGAGGTCCTTATAATAAGGATCCTACTATTTAGGGTACTGTATTGGGGTCCCCTATTTTCGGAAACCCCCATGTAGGCTTACCAGGTTACGAGTGAGTGAGTGAGTGAGTGAGTGTCGACCAGCACTTACGGTGCGGCCTACCTCCCACGTCCCTCTCAACATCTCAGGGGGCTCCGCAAGCGTCATCGCCTCCCTCCGTCCCAGAGTTCAAGTGGGGGAAAAACTAGCTAGTGCAGACAGGTCACGGTGTAGAATACTAAGATACATGTTTCAAACCCAAGAATCGGAGAGGCATAGTCCTTGATCAGGGATATAGCAGGCAGGAGGCCAAGCCAGACGTCACCAACCGAAATACTTATGCTTGTATGCACCAAAGAACACACCAAGTAACCGGCAGCAGACGCAAAGAGTTGAAAGGGAGCGAACCGTGCGGCCAGTGCCGAGGGAGCGAGGCTCCATGCACAGAGGGCACACACAAGGCGACCCAAAGGCGTGCGCCATGTGCCGAGGGAACACTGTTCCAGCACCGAGGGCGAGCACGCCACCAATCAGGTACAGTAAATGAACATGCACACCACCGCGGCAATGAACAGCACAGAGGCGCAGCCCTGGAACAAGGCCGATAACAAAGGTAGCAATCCAGGGAGTTGCTAATGCATATGATGAGCGTGGAATACCTCACATATACACTGAATGTCCAACAGTTGAGCCAGAATACTAGAGGGCACTGTCGCCCTAGCACAGGGGAGGGGGGGAAAGGGGGTGCTCATCGGGCAAGAGCCCTTAGTGCCGCCGCCCGCGGTCCACACCTTTCCACAAGAAACCCCCGCCCCAAAGAGAGTGCTAGGCCGCTAGGCCCGGGGGTACCAGGTTACGAGTCAGTGGACACTCAACGAGCAGCATAGCATCAAAGCGAAGCCCTCATAATATTGTGGTCGTGGTCACCAGCTATTCTGGCAACTGTTCTCTACCGACAACATTGTTCGTATCTTTGCTACTGTACTATCATTGTGGTTACAGTCATGGGCACCAGGAACCGAACTTCGTCGTCTAGGTAATACAGCGGGCTGAATAGAAGTTTTACCAGCGTTTTGGTATACATGGTAGTACATACATTTATTGAGGAGGCCGAAGAAATACTCTTGGTAGTTTTCCGACCTGCGCCGAAAGCCCTAAACCCGTAAACCCTTCTAGAAGCACCGTCGCCTCGACCCCTCATAGATCCTTTAAGGCCTAAACTCGTAACCTTGCGGGATATTCCTGTTTGGAGGATCCCAAGAATCCCAAGGCGAGGGTTCGGGGTTTAGGTTTAGGGTTTAGGGTTTAGGGTTTAGGGTTTTAGGATAGGGGTCCATGCCTCAAGCACCGGTTGACTAGCTTCTCAATGCCTCTCATGACTTTACGAAGAGTTCGTAGCTTGGTTGGAAGGTGTACTGTGGGAACCCAAGCACCAAAGAAGGTGCCGGTACGATATTACTCGCTACCTGAAACTTCTGCAATAGTGTTAAAAGCTTGATAGGCTTAAGGTCTGCGGATGTGAAGTTATATATATATATATATACAATGCAGAGTTAGGATAACCCTGAACCCCCGTGTTGTAATGCGATGCATTACGCTTTGAGGCTTGTCGATCTTCGGGTTGCGGGTGGTGGGGCCACCTCAGGAAGCCTGTGACAAAGTCATGTGCGTGAAGGTCAAAATTAGGGTTCCTGGGTCCCTATTATAAGACGGCACCTAATATTTAGGGTTCCCAAAAAGGGACCCTAATCTCGACAACCACCCATGTAAGCACAATGCATCACAATCAGCAACAGAAACGAGAAAGACGCTTACATGTAACAAATATAGAAGTGCACAAGCAAGTCGAACAAATGATATACTCTGTCTTTATACATGTGCATACATGATACATATATATACACACATACATATATGTATAGTATGTATATAGGCAAAGACAGGTGTAGATGTATATACTAACATACAGGCACCTACACAAACAACACTATGTCCATATATATATGTACATATACATATATATATATATATTTCTGTATCTGCGCTTGAACCTTTGGCTAAATCTAGAGATCTTTATCTTTATAACTATACCTATATACAGGTTACAGGCATATGAAAGTACACTCAAACACGATGAAACGGTCTGAAACGGATACAGGCTCAAGTCAACTTCATGGCGATACCAAAATCCCTACATCAGTTAGAAACCCCGGCAACTCCGAGGCCGTTCATCAAACCCCCAAGTAGCGATCCGAAACCGAGCCAACCACCCTAAACTCTTCATGGCTTCAGAAACTGAGAAGCGCTACCTAAACCTAGGTAGAATAGTGGCCCAATACCTCTGAAAGGCCATTATTCTACATACTTTGGGGGTCCAGGTATGGCCCTACCAGAGTTCCTGAATAGTGCAGGATTCTTAAACACCCCACAGTCCGAAACCGGAAATCTGAATGTTAAGAAACCTGCTCGCCACCGAATATATCACCTCTGAATGCTAGAAACCCTCACATGTGATCCCATCATCCAGGCGTCGGGTCGGAGTATTCGGCTAGCAAAGAGGCCAAAATGCCAGGAACTTTCACGTTGATGGCATTGCTGCCTTGCCTGGTTGTACTACAGATAGTACCTGCTTTGGGGTTTCTAGAACCTGTATATGATGTACGGTACCTGCTCTGGCTGTTCGGAGCCGCAGGGATTACGGCTAAGGGTTTGTCCCATTTAGGCGGTCGGATGCAAAGCCCTAAACCCCTAAGCCCGAAACCCCAAAACACCTCAACTTTATGCAGCCTAAACCCTGCAAGCATGTCGCTCCCAAGAACCTTTACAAGGACTTATGTAACGACCGCATTTTAATGATTACAAGAACGAAACCGCAAAATCTAGGCTTGTGGGCTGCAGGTCATCGTCCGTTTGAAGCTACCCCTGCGAACAAGGCTTGCAGCACAGGGTTTTAAATGCGCGACGCGGGAAACATCGTGTTGCGGCACGGACATCGGTGCTATGCACAGTGACTTGATTTAGACAGACATGCGCGGACGTCTCGTGTACCAGGTCTGTGGAACAGTGGTGACACATAATGTCGCTCTCATGCCCCAGTCCGCTGTCAACAGGGTTTAGGGTTTAGGGGGAGAATGAAGGCCTCGGCGGTACGGCGTCTGTATACGAACGATCCGATGTTGCACACATTGTGTTAGCGAATGGCCAGCACTCCAGAAGACAAAGGCAAAGCTCAGAGATAGCCCAAACCCTCATTCAGTATGGGCGAAATTCCGGCTTCTGGGCATCGAATTCTGGAGGCAGTATGGTCGACCCAAAACTTCCAATCCATGCGTCCTTGAAGGCTTCTGGTAGCTATCCGAAATGGGGGTTTCCGAAAACTAGGGCACCTTATTTTGTGGTCCTTATAATAAGGATCCTACTAATTAGGGTGCTATATTAGGGTCCCCTATTTTCGGAAACTCCCAAATCGATACCTTGTACCGAGGTGCTTCGCAAGCCGCTCCTTCGCCACCTCTGACGGCAGACCGCCCCGGTCCAAGGCCTGGTGCGGTTCAAGTTATAATGTTTGTGGTGGTAGGGTTCGAGCTTGGGTTGCCACTAATTATTGAACTGTACAGCTACTACATTCGGAACGCTTTGAGAGCTTTGTCGTGGCTTTCGCGCCATTTATTTTAATTTAGTGAACCCGAGGTCACTTTTGGCAACGATTTCCAAGGTTGAAGCACCGCGTTCTGGGCTTAGGCAGGGGTGTATTGCCGCCTTTTGAAATTCTTGATACATTGCTCACACCATATATTACTACTGTCAAGACCATTCTAGTGTTACTTTATCCCATAACAAGAACTACATAGTGACCGGTGTCTGTCAATACCTACTAACCTCATAATCATTCCTGATTACGGCTTCATGGATCAAGGGCTTTTAGGTGCCATGGTCTATCTCAGACACATTTGATGTTGCAGTCCGAAAATCTACGCTTTAGGGCCCTGAATAATTGCCTGCACTGTGTTGCGGGTCCCTTATTAGAGTTATAGTATAATGGGCCCCCAAAACCCTACTCTAATTATTAAGGCCGCCAACAGAACCGTACTCTAGATCCCTTATAGACCCCGTTGAAAGTATCCCTTGAAAGGAACCCTACTCTGTTTCATAAGGCCCCTATAGTAGTCTTCCACGTACTCGGCAAAGGTGCCTCTTTCGCCTTCTGCTGTCTTAGTCAAGGAGATATGACGGAGATGCGAAGATGATCCGACCAGACGGTGTGCCATTGGCGGGGGAGGGGGGGAGGCTGGGCAGGAGAATCGAGACAGCAGCTTAGTGCCGGAGGTCAATCTAGGGGCTTTAATAAATAGACAAAGGTTTTGGGGTATATTGAGCATGGTTGTGGGGACTACAACGGGAGGCGAGTTACCTGCCAAGCGAGATTCATGCCAGGCTATCCGTCAAGCATGCAATCAAAGCCCTACATGACTCCTTTTCGAACTCAGACCCTACCGTATAACGCTTTGAGTTAAACAGCCCGTAGAGAACTACCATCGTCAAAAATCCGTTGTCATTGAAACCCTTCTGAACCGCGGAAACACTCGATCGGATATCGACAACCTGAGAAACTTTTCACCAAAAACCAACACAAAATCCGTACATCCGTGCACAAACTCGCAAAGACACTGTATGAATGTGCACCATAAGATCCTTGTACAAACCCATACGTAAACCCTGTACCTCTCTTCTTCAACAAAGAGGGCCGCAAAAAGTTCAAACTTTCTCAGATAGAGCTAATACATACAGGCAAAAAGCTTGAAGTTCCCCCGTTCACTATCTAAGGTACCAGAAAACACAAAGAAATGACCACCTGCCTGATAGGATTCCTCACCGCTCAGCGCCA